GGGGGGAAGTGGCGGGGAGGACGTGTCTACAGGGCAACCACGGGCCATCCCTGACCTACTGCTCCCGTCCCTCCTTCAGCAAAGCGCGCCCCAGGTCGCTGTCAATGGGTGAGTGTCCAGTGGGGTGTGGGGGTGGGATGGCGGGTGGCCTATGGGAGGCGGGGTTCTTAGTCCTGACCCCGCCCCCTTTGTTTTGGTGACCCGTGGGAGGCGGGGCTCTCGGTCCTGACCCCGCCCCCTTTGTGTTTTGGTTTCTTCCTGCCCCACTCCCGCGCAAATCTCATCCATTCTTTCTTCTTCCCAGGTGGGTGAGGTGGTGAACAGGCTGGGGCTGGGGGGGTAGGGAAAGGGAGAGAAGCAGGGGGGAGGGGAGGGGGAGGGCCCCTTGATTCGAGGGAGGAGGGAGGGCGTTGCAGGTCCACGTGTCAAGGGTTGACCGAGGCAGAGACTGGGAGGGGCCCCGGAGTGGGTGACATCTGAGGTGGTGTCCCCAGGTCCTCCAAAGTCTCCCGGTTGAAGATTTGGTGTTTGAGGCTGGGGACTAAGAGGAAGCAGGCTTGGGACTTGAGGGGCTGAGAGGATGTTTGGATGTTTCTGGTGCTAGGCTGAAGGGGCGGCTGTGGGTTCCCCCCAGAGAGGTGAGGGTGGGAGGAAGCTGGAGGCAGGGAAAGCTTGAGACCTGGACTTTTGGGATCTTCGGGGAAGAAGCAAGTGAGAGGCCAGGAGGGCAGGCCTGTGGACAGGTAGAGGACATACTGGAGAGATGCCTGGTGAGCGGAGAAGACCCCAGAATGTCCACAATGGAGGAAAAGAAGGGGGGTCTGGATGGGGGCCCAACAGAACGACAGCTACTGGCCTCACACAGGGGGCGCCGTGGCCCTGAAGACCCCCCCTCTCCCCTACACAGGTAAGCCTGATCCGAGTTGAGTAGTTCTTTCTTTGGGCAGGTGGGGGGGGGGGGGGGAGAAAGCATGTCCAAAAAACTGGCCCCCATATGCCCCTATGCCCATCTGTGTCTGCCAGACACCTGTCACTCATCACTCCTGCTCCGAGCTCAGGGTCTTTGCAGGGAAAGTGGGAATAACAGTCCTTCCTGGGTTGTCAGCCTCCTGGGCCAGTCAGCTGAACCATTTAGGCAGGGACTCTGGGGCCAGCCATGGCCCACCCCTGCTTCATGACCTGGACCCATTCGTTTGGTCCTCTCACTCCCCACCCCATCCACACCCACTGCCCGTCTGTGCGGCAGATTCCCAACATTGCCAGAGGGCTTCGTTACCTTGTGCCACTTTCACGGAATTACCACAAGGGGGTGACTTTCACAAACAGAAATGTATCCTCATCGTTTAGGAGGCTAGGAAGAAGCATTCGTGCAGGGAGCCATCTGTAAATGGTTAGTGCACTCAGCTGCTTAGGGGGAAGGTCAGAAGTTCTAATCCACCCAGAGGTCCCTTGAAAGAAAGCCCTCAGAGACCTATTTACAAGCAGTGGGCACAGTTCTACCCAAAGACACGTGGGGTCGCCAAGGGTGGAACTGGCTTCATGAGAACTGGTTGCTTGGGGGGAAAAACCTTAAAACGTTTGCTTGTGATTTGAGTGGAAGTTGGCCAAGCAATTTGAGCACACGCTGCTTTGTGACATTTGTTCCCACGATGGCACAAAAATTTACCCATTTTCCCCCAGTCTTCTTTCCTCCACCTTTCTATCCCAGCCTGCCTGCGTGGCCTTCTCTCTGGGCCAGTGGCAAAGCTATCTTTCTGAGCGTGGCTGGTCGATGGGTCTAAGACTGCACCCCTCGCTGGAGCGGGTATTGTTTGCTTACAGGCCTGAGTGGCATAGTGAGCTAAGTACGGTTGGACACAAGGCCGGTAGTTCAAATCCGCCAGCTGCTCCTCCGGAGTAAGATGAGGCTTCCTGCTTCCATAGCGTTACAGTCTCAGAAACCCACAGGGAGAGTTCTACCCTGCCCTCTAGGGTTGCAATGAATGGGCACTGACCCCACAGCAGGAAGCTTTTAGTTTTATGGTGTGGCTGAGAGGCGAGCCACGGGGCTCAGCTGTAGGCCTAAAGGGTGATGAAAGTCAGGGTCACCTGGTATTAAGTATTGGCTCCAACCCCAGCCGCTCCTGAGCCGGCTGCCTCCTGATCCCCGCTCCCCTCCTTAGTCACCAGGACTCTGCGTTGGAGGCCCAGCCCGAGCAGGAGCTGGCCCTGGCGGCGGGGAAATGGGTCCTGTGTAATTACGACTTCCAGGCCCGAAACAGCAGCGAGCTGTCCGTCAACCATCTGGATGTGCTGGAGGTCAGGGCCGTGGCGAGCCGAGGGACAGGGTAGATAGGGGTGGACCCAGCGTCAGGTGCTGAGCCTTAGCCCCCCACACCACACCCCTGTCCCAGGTGCTGGATAACAAACGCAAGTGGTGGAAGGTCCGGGACCCGCAGGGGCAGGAAGGATACGTGCCTTTTAATATCCTGAGCCCCCATTCGGGACCCCCAGCGGGCCGAAGCCCTGCCTGCAGCCTGGTGAGACGAGACTGCAAGGTTTTGGGGGAGAGGCGGTTGGGGGCCAGAAATCCGGTCTCAAGGGTCCTGGCAAGGCGTGCCTGGGCAGCCGGGTCTCATTCTTACCCCGCTCCCCTCTCTAGAACAGCACGCCACCCGAGCCTCTGGCTCCGGCTCGGTCCCACTGGGACAGCTGCGATAGTCTCAACAACCTGGACCCCTGTGAAAAGGGTGAGTGGTGGGGGCAGCCCAGGGAAACCGAGGCTCAGAAAGAACGAGTGGGTTCCCGGGATCACAGCTGGGGCAATGGAGGCCCCTAGCCTCGGTCCTGAGCTCCCTCCCTCCTGGCTTTCTGCCTGCAGAGAAATTCTGCCAGATGCTCAGTATCAATGAAGAGCTGCAGGTGCGCCTGGCCCAGGGCCGCTCGGGCCCTAGCCGCCCCGCCGCGGGACCCCGCGCCCAGGAGCTGCAGCTCAGCCCGCACTCGGACGCCTCGGAGGTCCGCGCTTGGCTACAGGCCAAAGGCTTTAATTCTGGGTGAGTAGCACCAGCGCCCCGCCCATTGGCTCTGAAGGGCAAGCGTTCTGATTGGCCCCAAAGCGGGCGGAGCGCAGGACGCTGCTGTAACAGGCCGTGATTGGCACGTTTTCTCAAGTTTCCATTGGAACCTCCGGAATGTCCCTCCTCCAACCGGAAGCAAGATCCTTTGTGATTGGAGGGTGGGAGAACGGGCTTTCCGTCACCTCCTACTTCACCACCTCGCCCGTGGGTTAGGGTGCTGCTGATTGAACTAACGGCTAAGTGGGCGTGATTGGCGGAGCGGACGAGGTTGGAGCTGCAATTGGCTAGCAGTTCTGTGACCCTCACCCCCACCCCTCCTTAGCACGGTGAGCGCACTGGGCGTGCTGACAGGCGCGCAGCTCTTCTCGCTGCAGAAAGAGGAGTTCCGGGCCGTGAGCCCCAAGGAAGGGACACGCGTGTACAGCCAGGTCACAGTGCAGCGCGCGCTGCTGGAGGTGAGCCCGGCCAGGCCTGCCTCCCCGGGGCTGCTCTAGGCTGGGGCGGGAGCTGTAGGGCCGGGCGCGGTGGGGGAAGGGGTTCTGATGCCCACCTCTGCCCTCCACCAGGACTCGCAGAAAATGTCAGAGTTGGAGGCAGTGATGGAGAAGCAAAAGAAGAAGGTGGAGGGTGTGACGGAAGTGGAGGTCATCTGACCCTCTGCAGTTTCAGAACCTCCCCTCAAACCCGGGGTATGTGTGGACCGGTCCTTACTGGGGTCCCCCACCAATGCATGGACTGGCCGGGCACGATAGGGGGCGAGGCGCACTTGTCCACTAGAGGGTGCCAGTGGGGTGTAATGTACCACTACTGCCCAGCCTATAAACAGCCTACTCATAGCGGTCCTGTCGTTTTGTCCCCTTTACCCGACTACTTGGGGCCCAGCGACCTGTTGCCTCCTACCGGTCACAGCCTCTGCCTGGGACAGAGGCTTTGAGTTCTGTTTCCATCGTTGCCGTCAGCCCCCACCCCCCCAAAAAAAGCCACCCTGCTTAAAAGAGCCTGGTCAGTTTGCGGTGCCGATAAGGCTTCCTATTCCTGTAAAAATGGACAGCTTCAGACGCCTACAGGTGCAGCTCTTGTCCTGTCCTGCAGGTCACCCAATTGGTATCCACTCTATGGCACTCAGTACCTTCCACTCGAAGCCTGCCCTAACTATAGAGGCCCACTCCGGTCTTCTTTCCTTCTCTGCTCCTCACCCACCCCGACCTGCCATGGGTGGCAAGGGGGCAGGTAGCAAGGGGGTCTAGGGCTCGTGCCTTGGCTCCAGCTCCCCACCCATCCTCGCCCAGACGGCCGCCACCCACTGGCCAGGGCAGGAACCGCGTGCACGCCCCCAGTGGCAACACCGCATCTTTATTTGTGATGCCTGCGCTTTCTCTCAAAAATACCTTCTCCCCCAGGCCCACCTGCATGGTGGACGGGAAGGGGGCAGCAAAAATAGACGTCCCTCCCTATTGCACGTGGGCGTGGCCCCCGGGAAAGCCCCTGCCCGGCCCAGGCCTCGTGGGCAAGCACCTCTGGCTAGAGGCGGGTGGGCACGGTTCTTGGCACGTTCTTGGATCCCTGTTCTGTTTGGAGGGGATGGGGTGGCGGAGGGGGCGTCACACGTGAGGTGGGGGACCCCCGGGGCGGCTACTCTGGTCCCTGGCTTCTGGTCCTTGCGTTCTGTGGTCCTCAGTGCCTTCCTGGCTCTTGCCTCCTGCCGCGGTCCCTTCTCGCAACGTCCCCCTACCTGGCTCAGCCTCCCACCTGCCTCCCTCCCTCCATCTGGTCTCGGGCGGCACCCCCTGGTTCTCCCCTCCCATTCTGGAGGGAGGTCCCTCAGGGGAGTTATGGCTTCTCAGAGTCGTCCCCGGAGCGTGTCACTCGTGGTCACACGGGGAAGGGGTGCGTGTGGCAGAAGCAGCTGCATAAATACGGGGGGAGGGGTCCTGCGGAGTCACTTGGAGAGCTTGCTGATGACGCGGATCAGAGCTGCATTCTCATCCTTGAGTCTCTGGTTGTCAGCTCGGAGGTCCGACAGGGCCTGAGGGGTGTGCGGGCCGTCAGCCACCCAGGAGCAAGAGGACCCCCAACCGGCCTAGCCCCCGCCATCCCCTCAATCAGTCTCACCTTCAGCTCCTCCTCCAGCTCCGCAGCCTTCCGCTCCAGGGCCCTGCGCTCCTGCAACCGGCCGGGAAGGGGGCCGTCAGGGGCGCGGCGGGGTGTGGCATGGTGGGAGATCGGGTGGCATGGACTTCTTTGAGCCTGGCTCAGGTGGGTTGGGGGCCTGGGGACATGCCTGCCATACCCCCACTGGCCCTACTCACGAATCTCTCCAGCTCCAGGAGGGCCGGCCTCTCAGCGAAGCGCTCGTGCTTCTGTTGGGCCCCGTGGGGGTGGAGGTGGGGTGTCAGAAATGCTCAAAATCGGAGGGCCCCCGTCATCCCCCCAGCACAAGCCCCAATCACCTCCAAGCTTCGCCCTCTCATCACTCAAGACTCCAAAGCCTCACCCCTCACTGGCCCACAGGGCCCACCCACCCAAAAGCCCAGCTCAGAATCACTCAGGCTCCTACCTTCAGGCTCCACCCCCATAGCCACACCTGTCCATAGGCCCCGCCCCCTATCTCAGGACCTGTTCCTCCAATCACACCCAATGCCCCAGCTCTTAAGTCCCACCCCTCTTAGGCCACGCCCCCAGGGGGACCGACAGACCCTTCACCTGTGTGGCTTTCTCCAGCTCCACCTTGAGCTGCGAGAGCTGCAGCGTGGTCTCTGTCAGCGCCTCCCGCAGCCGCTCGTTCTCCACTCGCAGCTCTGCGTACAGCTGGGGGGGG